TAAGGAGGAATAAGCAATAATTTAATTTTAATAATTTAATAATTTAATGGATTTTTAATGGTTTTATTGTACTCTTAGTTGTTACATTGTACATAGTATTATTAGAAAAAAAATAATGGTATTTTTTAATATACAGGTGACTTGTACAAGAAAATAAATGGCCAGCGTGGAGTATTATTTCCTGAAGAACAGGTTTGCTTTTAGCTCAATAAATCAATACATGATATTGTTATTGGTTTATGTGTCTTCTTACTTTGAGTTACACTGTTAACTTGTGGTGTTCTTATGCTGTAATGTTTGTTAAAAGGTTATGGATTGGTTTGTACAAATTGCACTTGGCTTAAAACATGTACATGACAGGAAAATCCTTCATAGAGATATAAAATCCCAGGTAACTTATGCTTATCCTGTTTATAACTATTTATACATTCAATTGCTTCAAATAATGAATAGAAAACAAAGGTAGACTCCTTCAAAAAAAGAATTGTCATGATTAGAAATAAATTACTTACAAAGATTATGATGCGCTGCCCGTTACATAAAACTCACTGATAAAACCACTTTGGAAATGTAGTCCTCAACCGATGCAGCATATAATTAATGAGCTCCGAGGGCTAGGGCCTAACTTATTTTATAAGTACAGGCAATAAAATTAAATTGTGGTTTAGTACATATAATGTATGTCTCATGATTTATCTTTTTTTTAACAAGAACATCTTCTTGACAAGAAATGGTATGGTGAAGCTAGGAGACTTTGGTATTGCAAGAGTGTTGCACAAGTATGTTTAAGTAAAAATATCACATTCACATACTCTAATGCTATCAATAATATGTTGTGCTGATTCTATATTTTTTTTACAGCACTTTTGAATTGGCAAGGACTTGTATAGGAACACCATATTATTTATCACCAGAAATAGTAGAAAACAGACCATATAACAACAAAAGGTTTGTGAAAGATTGTATTTTATGACAGGAACCCAGGACAGAGCCTGAACATAGCTTACAGCAGTTTTAGTTTGCTTGCAACTAGAGTTAGTTTAGACTACTTTTAAGTTCATTACAACTTATAAGTCCATAAGTATTGGCAAACAAATGCATGTTTGCTTCTCAGTCAGCCAATCAATTGGAATTGGAAGCTAGTAATGGTTGAGCTAAAAAATTAAAAAATTATTTAAGTAATCTAGTAAGTATAAATTGTTTTTGTATTGAATTTTTCAGTGATATTTGGTCACTAGGCTGTGTTCTTTATGAGATGCTGACATTAAAACATGCTGTAAGTAGCTGCTTTTTATTGCAGATGACCCTTGTTTTAAATCTCTCTGTTTATTACTACATGTACCAGTCTTTGAAATTATAATTATTCATTTTTTTGTTTAGTTTGAAGCTGGGAATATGAAGAATCTTGTATTGAAAATTATCAGGTTTGCAATAATTATTATTTTTGTAACTTATAACCAATGATTATTCATACTAATAAAATTAATTTACTCAATGGCATTTAGATGACAAAGGTAATTTTTTTAATTTTTTTTTGTTACTTTAGAACAACTTATAACCATTGTATACTGTTTGTACCAGTGGGTACAACTACGTTGTATTCTTAATAATAATTATTAATAAATAATAATATTGTTTTTGTTTAACAGGGGCTCATATCCTCCAGTGCCAATAAGATACAGTGGGGATATCAGAACGTTATTGTCACAACTTTTGAAAAGCAAACCCCAGTATGTAATTCATTTTTTTCCAGAAAATGTAACTTGAATATCTGCCTCATTATTGTTCTTGAGCAATTTATTATTTTTTCCATTCTAGGGACAGACCATCTGTMAATAACATTTTAAAGAAAAACTTTATCCAAAAAAGAATACAGAAGTTTCTCTCTGAACAGGTAMATACTCAATGTAAATGTTACAAAATACTAAAAAGATGACAACCACTGAAGCTGAACAATTTCTTTTGTATTTTGCTGATTAATTCCTAAAATTATAG